CATTTGTAGTACCAACTACTCAGGAGGCTGAGTTGGAGGGATTGCTTGAGTCCAGGAGTTTGAGGCTGTGGTGAGCTATGATTGTGCCACTGCACTCCAGCCTGGGTGACAAAGTAAGACCCTGTCTATAAAAAAAAATTAAAAAGAATAGAGTACTAGAAATTTACTGTGTACCAGCAGGATAGGCATAGTGGTTAAATGAGTGAGTTCTGGATTTTTCATTCAGGCCTTACTCTTGGATAGCTGCATGATCTCAATTAGTGTTGGCTATGACTCAGTTTCCTTATCTGCAAAATGACGATAGTATCTACATTATTGGGTTGTTGTGAGGACAAATTAGATATTCCTTATGAAGTTGAGAGCATGATATTTGGAGCATAATGGATGCTTGATAAATACTGCTGTTAGGACTAATGAGGTAAACCTCCAGTCTCTAGGCTGGTTTCCCAATCTCCAGAGCCACTTCTCCAAGACTTTATCTCTTGCTGCTTTCCCCCTTCAAAGCCCACATGTAAGTCTTATTTTTCTACTCTAAACCCTTTTTTGCTGCATCTCCTTTCTCAATACTTCAAAAGAAGGTATTATACCCACCACAATGACTGAAATGAAAAAGATGAAAAATGTAAACAATAAATGAAGTTGTAGGGCATCCAGACGCTTAGCGTGCTGGTAGGAGAGCAAATTAATTCAGCCATTTCAGAAAACGGGTCTGGCAGTGAAGTCAAACACGTTACTAGCCTTTAATTTTGGAATTCCACAACGAGGTCTATACTTAACAGAAACACATACACATGTATATAAAAAATCACGTAGAAGAAGTTTCATAATGGCACATTACCTACTTATTGCTGCAAAAGAAGTTGCCCTCAAACTAAGCAACTTAAAACAACAAACACTTATTATCTCAAGTTTAGTTTCTGAGGGCCAGGAATCTGGGAGTAACTCAGTTGGGTGCAGGGCCAAGGTATCCATTAGGTGCAGCAGGAACTGTGCCTAGGGCCCTTGATACTTGTCAGTACAATTTCCTTCTTCCAATGAGTGAGATACATCATTTGTGTTGTAGTGATGGTAGGGTCCACAAAGTGCCCAGGTGCCATGAAAGTCACAATGCAGCCCTTGCTGGTGGGTGTTGCCAGGAATGCAATTATTGCAAGATACCACGGGTGGAGGAACTACTTCCAGGTTTACTCAGGCAGTCTCTAGAAGGTCCCAGTTCTTCTCTGGTTGTTGGCTGGAGGCCTCCGCTCCTCACCACATGGACCACTGCATAGTTACTTGGGTGTCCTCACAACATGGCAGATGGTTTTCCTTGGAGCAAGTGGAGAAAGTGAGAGCAAAGGTGAGAGAGAGAAACATCAAGATGTCTTGATATCTAGGAAATGATGTGCTATCACTCTGTCATATTCTATTGATTACACAAACCAACCTTGGGATGGGGATGGGGGACACAGAAACACATGAATACCGGAAGTCAAGGATCACTGAGGTCCATCTTAGAGGCTGGCTACCAAAAATACTACCTTTGGTGGTTAGAAACTGCAAATAAGCTAAATGTTTATCAATAGTAGTAAGGATAAATAAGAGATGGTGTATTTGTGCAATGGAATCTGATGCAACAATGAGAATGAGTTATTTCTAACTACATACAACAACATGAATGTATGTCATTAACATAATATTACCCAGAAGAAGCCAGGCACAAAGGGTATAGGCTATAGGATTCCACTTATATAAAGTTAAAAAACAGGCAATACTACTCTATGTGTTGGAGGTCACATTGTGGTTCTTGCTGGAGAGAGAGTGATGGGAAGTGAATACAAAGGGAGCTTTTGGGGCTGGCAGTATTTGGCTTCTTTATCTGGGTGTTATTTCCACAGATTTGTGTGTGAAAAATGCATTGAGCTGTAAAACTTTCTCCATGTCTATTATACTTTAATAAGAGTTTTTGGAAAGGAGGAGCAATCATAGATATATTATCTCTGTTTCCTAAAGAAATATTCTGGATCTAATTTTGGTTATGGCTAAACATAAAACTGGGTGCTATAGACTGAATATTGTATCTCTCAAAATTCATACATCAAACTCTTATATCCAAGGTGATAGACTTCCCAAGCCTCCAGGTAATTGGAGGAGGGATTTGTGGGAGGTGATTAGTTCATGAGGGTGAACCCTCATGAAAGGGATTTAATACCCTTATGAAAGAAAGAGCCCTAGAGAACCCCTTTGTCCCTTCTACCATACAAAGCCATCATAAGAAAGTTCTGCTAATGAACCAGAAAGCGGGCCTTCACCAGGCACTGATACCTTGATCTTGAACTTCCTACCCTCCAGGACTGTGGGAAATAAATTTCTGTTGTGTATAAGCCATCCAGTCTATGGTATTTTTGTGATAGCAGCCTAAAAGGAGTTAGACGGAGTAACCATACTGTGTGGTCAACTTATTGTTCTTGCTGCTAGGCCTCACTTGCTGTGGGATCCTGTTGAACAAGTTACTTAATCTCTCTAGACTGTAGTTTCCTCATTTCCAAAGCAGAGTAGACACTTACACTCCTAGTCTCAGAGTATGGTGAAGAATATGGAGCAATATCAGATGCAGTTGAGTCCTGTTACACTATCAAGAACTATGATATTAAGGTCTTTCAAGTTCAAAACTATAATGCTTCCCAGTAGACTAGGTTATCTATCTATCATCTATCTATCTCCTATCTCTCTCTCCCTTCCTCACTTGGGGTGGAAAAGGTAGGTTTGAGATTTGTGATCTGGCTCTCCTGGGTTTATCCTTTGGTCTTAGCCTTCTGCACTATCCACATGGCCTCCTTGAGTGTCTTCTCTAGGTGAGATTCCCTAGATTAACCAAGACAGTAAGATGCGGAGAGCAAAACCACTAGCCAGCTGTAGTTCTTACCTGGGTCAGAGATTAGCTGCACAGGATAAAGGTGAAAGCTGCTTCTGTGCACTATGGGATGACAGAGGAGGTTTATGGGGAATCCCACCAGGTGATACAGATGGTTTCTGTTGTTCCAGGATGGGGCCAGATTACCTTTTTAATACCTTTAGGCATATATTATGTATATACATTCCTTTAACACCTGCTTATTTCTACATAATATAACCATTTGTAAGGATAGACCTTGCTCAATAAAGACATGTTATGAGGTAATTGTGATCATTTGTAATTCAAGTCTGGATTTATCCTCTGTGAGAGCTGGGATTCGCAGTTTGTAGGACCATCTCTTACAGCTTTGCAAGTGTGTACCTTTTAACGTGACTGGAAGCTCCCTAGACAGGGCAAGTCCTTCCCATACTAGGAGAACCCCGAGATAGTCACTGTGAAGTGACTTATGGAAGTGGGTAAGGTTAAGTTAAATGGAGAATCTCCCCCAGCTCATCTCATCTGAGAGAGTAAGATCCTATTTCATTTGTTACACATTACTTTCTATAGTACTGTATTTGAGGGACTCGAGTAGCAGCATGAGGCCCTCTGGTGGCCGGAAATAATTCATGAGTTTGCGTTTCAAGCATTTTGAAGGGCAACTATAGTTGGAGAAGTAAACAAAGCTGGTGAATCCTCATCTAGACCAGGTGCTGACAGTGGAGGCATGATAAAGTGGGGTGACCTATTCTGAGGAGAGTTAAGAATGAAACTACTTTATTTTAAGATATTAGATTGGACTGTAATTTCAGATAGCCTGTTCACCTTCAGATTTTTCATTCCTTGGTTCATCTAACACCTCAATTAGGTACTCACTGAGTGTCTAATCTGTGCAAGGCATCATACTCAGCATTACATGGGGGTAAATAAAAAGATATCACATACTTCTAAGGTGCTGTGGAAGGAGGATAAAATGTTTATACCACCAACGTGGTAGATAATAAGAGGTGGCATCAGAGAATAAATAATGACCCATGAAAGAGCAATTACTTTCAGATAAAAGGGAGGGCTTCTAAGAAGTGGCATTTGAGCTGAAGCACCAGTGAGAAGCAGGATTGGGGGAGATAGAGAAGGAGGAAAAGATGGCATTATGAGGGAGGGAAAACACAAATTTAAACAGACATGGAAACAGGAAAATCAGAGCCTGACACAGAAATGGATGAACAGCCTAGTCTGCCAAAGTCATAAGGAGGTTTTAGAAGTTGGAAGGAGAATGAAGGCTGGACACATCTGTTTGGGTCAGCCTGGAGAACCTTACACCTTGCCTGATAAATCTCTTCATAAAGCAATGTGAGCCTTTGAATATCTTGGAGCAGAAAAAGGGGACGTCAAAACACAGGCTCACTTGTGCTGAAATGAGTGCAGTCCTGTTCACTAGCATTTGGTTGGGAGGAATGTTGATCTACAGGTGCCACTGTCTGACCTCCAAAGTCATTAGGATGTTTCCAATTACCTAAACTACCTGAGCACCAGGAAGCAGTCAGTGCCAGAAGGCTCCTGCCAATTTTAATTAAATCCCTGATTAGAATGCCTTTCAATGAATGTGCTATACTAGACTTGTTCTGTTTTGTTTCTTTCAAGTTTTAAGAATGGCTTCATGCCTGATTATCTTTCTGATCTAATTTAATGTGGTTTAAACTACATGAACAAGGAGTATTTCTGACTGGAGCTATGGGATAGAGTCCTAGCTGTGAACTCTTATGTCCACAGAAGAATTCAAGCAGCAACCTCGTTAGAACTGATCAAGCAGCCTGAGAATCTACATTATGCCTGGTATATAGTTGGTGCTCAGAAACACTTGTTAACAAATAATTAACAACTAATAAAAATGTAAGAGAAATTTAATGGCACAGGCATAGAAGTCGTATAGAATGTAGTAAACATAATTAATACTATTCTTCAGAAATAATGAACAATGATATGATAAAAATAAAAATCCTTCAGTTCAAAGTTAAGAGTCGACGTGCCCATTTGAGAGAAATGCAATTGAGAACTTGCAAATGAGACAAGCAAAGATGGGCAATTTGGAATTGTAATTAACATAGCTACAACAGAAGCAACCATTTAAGAAGTTACAGCAGCAATGAGTATTTATTATTTTGAATGAAATGTGCATTTAACTTTTATATAAAAATCATCAAAAGTGTTATATTAGATTATCTTACTATTAATTTAACACCCAACATCATCTGCTAACTACCTTTTAGTTGTTGTTTTTTTTACTTCTGACAGATAATCAGCTAAAACTGTTAAAACATAAAAATATTAGTTTATTCTTTGAGATAAAGTACCACCAGTGATGAATTACTGAAAGTGAAAAGTAAAAACAGATGCCAGAGAATCAACTTACTGACAAAAATTATCACAGAATTTCATAGAAGTATGAAGTCCAAGGCAATTTAGACATCTGGTAGAACGTTTTTATAAGACTTCTTAAAAGTGTGAATTCTTTCTTTTGGAGGCAGGTGCCTGGTATGCCAGGTCTATCTTGTTATTTTCTCATCTTTTCTTGGCTACTTTCCAGGATGAACCAAATGTCGTCTAATGTTGTACACCTCCCAGTAACCCCAAATTGTTTAAGGTAAAGAGAAAAATTTAATGTAAAGCCCCAAATTGTTTAATATAAAGAGAAAGTGGATTTTTTCAGTCTTAGTCATAGCCCTTAGAGTTAAGTTTGTCACTAAAGAAAGACACGAGGAGAAGCCCCTCTACTCCCACCCACCCCCATTCTTCCACGCTCCAACTCCAAGGTCATTCTCTCTTACAATGGTTTGGGGTGAATTGGCTGACAAAGTTGGAGCGGGTGTGTCATGGGGCCATATGGCCCATTTGGTCCCACTCAGTCTTAAGCAAACAAGCTTCTTTGATTGGCCACGAGAGCTGTCTGACTCTCCCGTCTCTTGGCTTTCTTGCTCCTTTGTCTCACCTTCCAGCACAAGGCGCTGGAGGCTAACAATAAAAGTCCAGATGACAGAACAACCAGGCCAAAGATGGAGATGATGGAGCCGTGGGAATTGAAACTGTAAGCCACGGCGGTGACCACGATCCCGGCGATGAAGACAACCACCGCGAAGGGGATAATGCAGCGGTAGCAGGAGAGCTCAGCACCCCCTGTGGCCGCCATCAGCTGAATCTCACTGACCAGGGGGACTGTGGTGACCACAACTTCGCTCTTGGGGCCCTTCTCCATTGTCACTGGCACGGGAGCCTTTGGGGCTCCCAGGATCTCCTTGATGGGCTCTTCGGTCATTTTTACAACGTGCTTCCTAGCTGGGTACACAGACTAGATCTGGAGTGTCTCACGGAGGTGGATACTGTGGAGAACACAGGAGATGTTAGCTAAATGTATCAATGAATCCTGCAAGCAGAAAGAAGGCTTCCAGGAGGCACAGATGCAAGTAAAAAATCACTGTTGCTTTTTATTCCTTATTGGTTGCATTCTCTTTATATTGGGCAAAAAAGCAAGATGAAGCAGAGGAAATTTAAAGAAAGGGAAGACATTAAAAGGTGGGAAGCATTTCACTGTGTTTAATGCACTCCAGTGGTCTACAAATATTTTACAAGTTTTTCTGCTTTGTCTGTTGCTTCTCTAAACACAGAAAAGCCTGGATCCTAATCCAAAGACGGCCTCATTCAAGAGGAGAACATGTGATAAACAGTATTTCGCAGTTAGTTCCAAAACTCATAGCAACTTAGATTCCGCCAATCTTGCCGGGCATAACAGGCATTCTTCCCAAATGTCACCCATTCACTGCCCACGAAATCAATGTCAAGGCAAGCAGCCAGCAATAAATGATGTTCTTCTCCATCAACTGACAGCCAACAAGTCTCTAATGTGTTACTATTAAACACAATGCAACCTGTGCTCTGGGACCTGTTTATTGCCCCACTGTGGGAGGTCAGTTCAACCAAAAATTCAGGGACAATGAGGTAAGGAGTTGTGATCTGAAATGTGACAATATGCTCCAATCCATTTGAAAAGAGAAAAATTTTTAAAAATCAGCAACTTCATAGGATATAATTTTATGCTTTCTCACATTAAAAATAAAATCAATGATTAGAGTAATTGGCTGATGGTTCACAAATTTTCTATTAAACTTAACAAGGAATGTTGATATTACATATATTATGACATGGGTAAATAAGCATGCTAGGTGGTCAGTAAAATCTTTACAAACGCATTCTTCATGCCCCTGTATATAAAACTTGCTGCAATGCCCCTTTCGAGATGTTTTGAATCTGGAAATTTCAGGACAAAACTTGAGACTTCCAATCAAAAGCATCTGGTTGAAATGCTGCCTGTGAGAAATCAGTGAAAACTCTTGTCTGACGTGTTAAATCACTGTCTTCCATTCTCGAGAAGCTGTCTATTTTCTAAACTGTTACTAAACAATGGAGTAGTTATAGTTTCCAAAATAGTTTGAAGAAAGATCCTTGAGACTATTTTGATGAGATTGATGCATCGAATATGTCAAGCATCTACTGAAAACAGATTCAATCCCAAATCAAACCTCACTGGCTCTTCCCTGCCCCAGGAGGTCAAGATATCACTCTCTGAGCAATGAAACGAAATATTAGAGCTGTCTACTCACATGTCATTTTAAATCACCAAACAAATTAATCACTGCTGTCCAGTGATACCCTAAATACTGGTGAGGCCAGTTAAAGATACCTGAGATTATCTCTGGAAAAAAAAGATCTTCACCCCATAGGTGAGATTGAGCTATCCTGAAAAGAAAGATTTGCCCCCAAACTACTCACACGCACCTCAGAGAGAGGCAGTCCATTGCCAGGGAAACCACTTCACTTGGAAAGGAAGAAACAGCAACATTAGAGCTTCTTCGCTGAACTTCTGGGAAAGAGCCTGAAACAGCACGGCTGTCAGTAAATGACAGGTCTGGTCAGGGATCTCTTCTGGGGAAAAGAAAAGATGCAAAAACACTTCACTATACAGTTTGCTTTGGGATCCCGGAGCTCTTGTTTCTTTCAGGCTACCTCTGTTCCTAAATGACGCTTGTCTTTTCCTCCCTCTCTCTTTTTATTCCCTCCCCCTCCGGTATGCCCCTCCCTATCTTTTTTTTTTTTTTTTTTTTAAACTTTGTTCTTTTCCTTGCCAGCAGATTCTGAGTTTTGGCTTCCCCCAAATCCACTCAGTGACATGATAAGTCAGAATCATTTCTACAGTCCCCAGAGACAGAAGCCAGCTTTTACTTTTATTTCTCTTGCAGTATTTACTAAGCAGACTGCTTTGTGAATCTGAATGACTCATTTTTTCCCCAGCCAACCTCCAGATCTTCCTCCCATCCATCAGGCAATTTTATAAGAAAATCCCAGAGTCAGCGTTGCAGACCCAGCTGAGGGGATAGAGACGAGGGGACAGACACTCTAGGGCGGCAGGAACAGCTGTGAAGTCACCAGGCAGCTGAATTCAGCCTCTAAGCCAGCATTAAAAAAAAAAAGTCCATTTTCCTAGATTTTCCTAGTATTCTTTCTTCTTATGTTGTGTGGAGGTCATCCGAAGCTTAAAACCCCACTTGTTTGATGTTAATTTATTTAGGAATGAAGGTGGGAGGTCCAAATATTTGTGGTTAAGGCAGAACTCCAGTCATCTAGCTTTAAACATGATTGCTTACTGCTTTTGCTAGGAGTATCTTTGGCAATGCTAAACTAATCCCCATCATCATTGTCATTGCTGTCATCTATAGAGCACCTACTATGAACACAATATTAAGAAAAGTCACATATTAACATTAATTTGCACTAGTTTATAAATGAAGAAACAGCTCAGAGAGGTTAAGTAATCTGACAAAAGTCACACAGTAAGACAGAAATCTTTGGTTTGAACCTAGATTTATTGGATACGTAAGTCACCTGGGGAGCTTGTTAAATGTAGAAACTGACTCAGTAGGTCTGTGACAAGCTCCTCCATGTGAAAGCTCTTGTTCTTCAGCCCATTTTAAGGAACAAGGTATTTTTAATATTCAAATATATTTAACTTGACATATCATACTCTCAAACAATAAAGTTAAAAGTCTATTTTCCACTTCCGTAAATGGCCTTATAGGTTTATGCTTTCTTATAGGCCAGCTATTTGAAATTTCAAAGTACTTGAAATACATACAGCCCTAGATTATCTTTTTGAGGAAAAAATGAAGACCATACTGGGAGACTATTATCAACTCATCCTTTGCTTTTGTAGTTAAAAGTTATCCATCCTCCATTTTCTAATCTGTGTCAGAAACTCCTTTTAATTAATACAGTGAGTCACAAATTCAAATTAAATCTAGGAAGGGGTTTATTTTCCTTCTTTCTCTGGGATGGTTAGATTTTTTCTAACTGCTGGCAAAGGGACTGGATGTTCTCAAACATCTTGCCTCT